ACACACACACACACACACACACATTATTCACGTCCAAATGAGGCTAATTGCAAGTAAGCACTGGGTGTATGGTCTCTCCACCTGTATAAAACCTCGCAGGTCTCTGGCCGCTCTGCCTCCCCTCCATCTCTTCCATTAAAAGCTAATTGATGAACATGGGCAGCTAATTAGAGCTGAGTGATCAGGCAGTGGGGAGGGCAGGGAGGGAGAAGAAGCGTGGAGAGCTGGGGGAGCACCAGTGTGGCAGGCCCCACACAGGGACCACAGTCTGGTAATTGAAGTATACTGTATGGTAATTAAGCAGAGAGGGGCTCTCATTAGCCTGCTTCAACCAGAGTGTCTGTCAGAGGCGCACTAGGCCTGGACGGGGGGGTGGGGGGAGGCAGGCTGGGTTACGGGAGGGTTACTGTGAGGAAAGATGGCGCAGACAATTTTAGGCAATGCTACCACTCTCTTTTGGGGAATTATCAAGTCAGCTTTTGTCCTAGATAAGAGCCTTACTCCCCTCTGAGGGCAATTTGAGACATGGGAAGTTACAGCAGAGTTGTGGTTTGGGGCTACAGCACGAGTGTGTGCATGGGGGAGTTTGTGTGTGTGTGTGTGTGTGTTTATGTGTGTGTGTGTGTGTGTGTGTGTGTGTGTGTGTGTGTCTGTCTGTAGAGACACTTGTTTGAACATTTGAGCATTTTTCAGTGTTTGTGCTTTGTGTATGAGAGTCAGGAAAAGAGGCAGAGGGAGAGGGGGAGTACTCACCCTGTTGATTAGCTCTCCAACCATGCCAGTCCAAGAGCCGTTGGGCTCTGGAGCCCCGTACAGCCCATCATCCACCAGCTTGATCTTGAAAGAGAATTTCAAGATGTTCGCCAGCTCCCTCAGCATGTCGACGCAGAAGCCCTCGTATTGGTCGTTACCCTGGAACTCCTGGTAGTTGTCCTTACGCATCACATATGGGTTTTCCTGAACATGGGGGGGGGGCAGGGAGGCTCAATCCAAAACAATGAATATGCTGTTTGAGCAGAGATTTTAAGGCTCAGATTTTAAAAACATTTAAAGGAATAGTTCTACACTGAAATATGCTGATTTGCTTTCTTAAGTCTCTCTAAAGCATTTTGAATCTCTACTCAAAATAAATAATAATAATAATTAACCATTCACACAAGAAATGCAGCTCAAAGTGCTTTACATACAATATAGATAAAAATAAGAACATGTTAAAATGGAATACATATAAGATTTTACATATACATACAGATTTTCAGTAACATAAGAACATATTAAAATTTAATTTAAAAGAAAAGGAAATAAAATAAAATAAAAAATGCATAAAAACAGGAAATAAAGAAAGTGATGCAAATTATAAAACTGCAGGAGTGCAGGCAAGTGAAAGATCTATTTATAGGCTGAAGTAAAGAGAGGTGTTTTAACTTTTCCTTTTAAAGACGTTTACTGAACTAGCTTCTCTGATATCTGGCGGCAGTCTATTCCACAACGTTGGAGCGCGTTTACAAAAGGTGCATCTCCAATTTACTTTGGGCTGTTGAGAGAGAACCTCTAATAGACTTGCTGCAGATGATCTCGGTTTTCTAGAGGGAACATAGTTAACTAGGGAGTCAGCAGATATAACTCGGTCCTCATCCATTCAGAGCCTTGTATGTAAAGAGGAGAAATCCTGTGTGTAACAGTCAGAACCACTAAAGCTGGACTAATGTGTTTTTTCCTCCTGGTTCTGGTTAACAGCCGAGGTGATATATTTAAATGGCAATTCCACATAAAAATTATTTTACTAGTCACGGAGTGTTTACGGCTCAGCCTGTAAAACAGTTGCTCTAGAAAGCCTGTGAAGAAACAATATGAAACTTTGGCCGCTACAGGGGTCTCTCAATCAAAACAATAAAAGATCTAGTTTGATGACATCGGGAAAAAGCATGGAATCATGGGAGTTGTCTTTACTACCATTACCAATGAAAATGTTGTTGGATGAGATAATGTATTCAAATTGTATTCATGCTACACAGCAAACTGAAATTAAAAAGGCGACCAAAATAAAACGTCCAGTCACCTTGAATAAAATTGGTGATTACTCTGGATTTGAACATTGTTGGAAAAAAAGATTTTTTTAAATACATAATGCAGGTCAATTCATTTTTAAAGATTTTAATGAAGAGTTGTTAAATATTAATGTTTTTATGTGCATCACAGGATTCAGATTTTCATATTGTAAAGAACATCTAGTCCATTTCTTTATCAGTTTCTTGTGAGACACCCGTGGTGTTATGGAGGTCCAGTCCTTATAGCACAAGTTCTTTGTTAAAAGTCATAAAATGACTGGTGCAAAATGCTGGAGTGGATGGGATCAAAGACAAAACAGACAGAAACAGTGACAGTTGAAATAGACCTGGGTACAAAGAGAAGACAGACTGCCGTCTTCTACACTGAGAGTGAAGCCAAATGAAGAAATCCTTCACAAAGCTTGAGTCATATGTCCAGAAATCCCTCACCACATAATCAAGGGTAAACTTATCCTGGGAGAAGGAAGCAAAACAGCTTGTTTGGCTGGGAAATATCTATGTATAAGCTTGCCACAACAAAACCATATGAGACTCCTCTTTTGTTCTACTATTTTAAATTCTAATAGGATTATCCTCTTTTACTGTTGTTAAAGCACACAGTGTCGTGCAGGAGATTTCCTGTATTAGGTTGTTTTTACACATCTATTCCAACCTGATGATGATATAGCAGCATCATGCGAGAGCTTTATTGATTTTCTGATGTTACATTACTCATGAGGAAACCAGCAGGAGACAAATCATAGTATTTAAATTAAAGCAGGGGACTGTGATTTTGCCAGTTTGAGTTCAGTAACACATCTCTCTCTGTGCTGTGTCAGTTTCTATGACAGCTACAGTGACAGCAGAATTAGCAGAAACAGACCAGAGCACAGCACGAGCTGTGGCACAGCTTGCACGGCAAAACACGAAAACAACTATGACCTCACCAGCGTGGCAGTCCAGAAAGTAGGCGCGACCTTACCAGTATGGTGGTGACAACGAGGGTCTTGTTTGCCAGCGTCTCCGAGACATTGATATCCAGACTGGTGGAATTCATCGCCAGGGTGTTGTTGGAGTACCAGATCCCAATCTAACACAGAAGGGAGAGTGAGTGGAAATCAATGGCTATTGTGGGATAAATAATGTGCTAAATAATCTCTAACTTCGCTACAACCGATACGCTGTCTGGTCGGGCTACAAATAACCTGCAGCCAATAAGTATTTCAGAGAGTACATTAACCCTATTGGTCTGTTTTATAGTACCTTTGCATGTTGAATATTTTATGCCTTGCTTTGTTATCCATATTGTTACATGCTGCATACACACATTGGTTTAATTGTTCCCACTGGAGCTATATAGGAACCTGCAGTATATGCACTCCAGAAAAAGAAAAAAAAAACGATGTTTATAGGCAGAGCACTGAGCTGAGACAAGATGGCAGGGATGGTAATGAAAAGCATTCATGATCAGGAGCTTCACTGCCATGTGTATTTTCCTTTACTTACACCTTCTTTAAATTGCATAAATAACAACATATTTCCATTTTATGGACACAGTAAAGTCACTTAGGTACATAAATGTGTGATTAAGACCGAGGCAGCGTGCACTGAGGAAACCGCACATCACAGAAGAATTTCTTTGGAAAATATTCATGTACATACTTCAGTAGGTCAAAAGAAAGGTAACGATTCCTCAGACAGAATTACAGTTTCTCTATGACACCTTTTCCAGCTCTGACATTTAAGGGTACTCGTTTTCATTTCTTTCTGTGAACTAGCACCACCGGTCTACAGAACAGGTGCAGCTGTGCTAAAAGAGGTGAGTTAAAATGTTAATTATCACAATGCTAGTCTCCCACCGAGATGGAGTCCTGATTTAACCACGACTATCAGTTGGCATTTAGTGTTTACACAGAATGCAGATGGCTCCGTGGTCGAGCCCAAGAAAAAACATATAAATGGAAGGTGACGAGAGAGTGTTTCCTAGAGTCAATGAACCGCAGCACAATTCGCTCAGTCTGGCTCAGCAGTGATGGGTGTATTTATGCTTCATTTAATCTTGACTTTGAAACACAGGGGGAAATGGATTTTGATTTCTTGCTCCCCTCACTTTCCATCTAATGTCCATTGGAGGAGTCTTCATTGACAGAATAAGGCACTAAAACGGTGCTTAACACCTCGTTAGCTCGGACCGCCGACGTTTTACTTTGGTTCCACAAATTGTCCAACTACCCCTCAACAAATGCGTTGCGGCTTGTTACTGATAGATCAAAAACATAAACACCCTAACCAAGAGGACAGATCTGGTCCAGGAAGATGAATGAAAGGGAATATATGCATAGAATGATAACTTAAAAGCAGGACGGTAAAAATTTAAAAAGAAAAAACACGATTCCTCACAAAAAGTATTTTCCGCACTGAAACACATCCTAGCACAATTTAATAAACTGATGCTGGAGATCGAATTGGTCCGGATTATGGTGATTTATGTTAAGAAAAAGATATTGCTGATATTACTGTGTTAAAGACTTGAATTGCTTTTGTTATACTGCACTCACCCAGTTTATGAGAAACACCTGAAAATCCTCTATTTTACCAGCAGTAGCACTTCTCCTCATAACAATCTCCAGAGTTTTCTCACAATGGTGCAAAGAATAAAAAACATCCTTTGAGCAGCTCTTTGATGAGAGAGGTCAGAGGAGACTGGCCTGACATGTTGGAGCTGACAGAATAACCGGATAACCACTCTTTACAACTGTGGCGAGCTGAGGAGCATCTCAGAGCGCACAACATGTCGAACATCGAAGCGGATGCCAGCCAAGAACAGAAATGACGGCCTGCGGTGGGCTCACCAAACCGGACATTGGAAGAGCTGGAAAAATATAGCCTGCACTGATGAACCTGGATTTCTGCTGGGGGATGGGGATGGAATCAACTGCATCAATCCACACACCCAACCTGCCTCGTGTCAACAGTTCAGACTGGAGGTGGTGGTGGCGTAATGGTGTGGAGAATGTTTTCTTGGCACAGTTCGAGCCCCTGAATACCAATCAATTTGAACGCCACAGCCTATGTGAGTGTTGTTGCTGACCATGTGCATCGCTTTATGGCCACAATTTACCATCGCCTAATGGCTACTTCCAGAATGATAATGCTCCATGTCTGTTTGCTCTGAACCGTGCCAGTTACAAACACTGATTTCCACAAATTAATGTCATTATTTATGGCCATGGGGATAAAATAAACCAAACATCAACGAAATATCATTCATCAGATGAGAAGACATCAGGTCAACCTGCAGCTGTGGCCGAGGGAGGAGAGATGCACAATACTACACTTACCACCACAGACCTGCTAGTTATTTTGCATCTGAAATTCAATTGATGAAGTATGCAGGGAGCTAATGTATTCTAGCCTTCAGATAAAACAAATGTTTACACACATTTGCAGATAGCATGAGCCACTTCAGATCGCAGGTTATGGTTCTGTGCCACCACGTGAAATCAATCCCAAACTATACCAAGTAAAGATATTTGGCTGCTATCAGGGGAGCCTGTGACGAGGCTGACCTCAGAGTCAAACAAAGCTCTCAGCTATGTTTAATCAGACAGTTGACGTATACCTAACCCAAAGCCTAAGGGCCGTGTGACCTGGCTGCTACATAATAACCGGTGACTCCTGACCTCTTTGTGGCCTCCTCTGTGTTTCTCCAGGATCCTCAGGGTGTAGTTGGTCCTCTGACCTTTGCTGTTGAACTCCACGCGCCCCGTCAGACCATCGTACTCCACCTGGAGGGGGCAGAGGTGGAGAGTGATACGTGAGGAAATAGGAAGGAGGCAGGGCAAAGGAAAGTCGATGAGAGGAGATTAGGTAGTAAAAATGAGGATAGATTAAGGAATAAATAAATACAGGCAATCTGCTCTGTGAGACAAAACATTCTTCTTCTCACTATCCATCATGATTAGACAAACAGATCATATCAAGAGTGATTAGGAAGGAAGAGTGAGTAAGAGACAAAGAGAAAGAAAGAGCAGTAGAGACAGAGAATGTGTCTGAGCCTGGACCAGACAGGGATAATCAGTTTCGGATCAACTAGGAGAAAGTGACTGAGTGAGAGGCTCAGACACAGAAGCAGAGAGAGTCAACAGCTCCCTAATAAGACCTGCACCTCGCAGCTCAGCTCTGCCTCTCCAAAACCCAGGTGCTGGCACAGTTAGCAAGATCTATGATGAATGGCACGCTGCTGAAGATGGAGCACACCATGATGTTGACTAACAAAGACAGATGTCGGGCCGGTGGGGCGGAGGCAATGAGAGATGAGGCTCGGGCTGCCTTGACAACAGGTTGTCAATGAGACTAACACACACACACGCAAACACACACACACACACGACCAGAGATGGGAGATGACAAAGAACAACAGGAGACAGAGGTTACATTTGACACGAGGCGAGGATGATACAGAATGTGGTTGTATTGTCAGCAATCATCAATAAATCAATCATGAGCAAAATTAATCACCTATTCTGATTCATTCATTTTAGAGGCTGGAACCAGAAAATGTTTCACATTTTTAAATGAGGGAAACAATTGATATTTACCAAAACAAGTGTCAATTGATATTCTGTTAATCTGATCCATGAATTGAGTGAGTCATTTAAAAACAAAAATGCCAAAGATTTGCTGGTTCCAGTCTATAAACCTTAAATAAGACAGATCATTTGAAGTCAGGCTGCAGATACAGTTTGTGTTGTCTGTGGTTGGAACCAACACATGTTGGGCATTTCTGCTTTTTACATACATGACTGATCATTGATATGATAACGATTAATCGATTATTAAAATAGTCAGATCATATTAATACATTAATCTACTGATTGTCTCTGCCTCGATTTGAAGACGTCGTCTCAGGCGTTTTGGAAATGGCAAATGTATTTGTCACTATTTTCAGACATTGATTATCTAAAAAATAAACAGCAACATATTTCACTAGAGTTGATATTGTCACTGTGCATATTATGGCTGTGTCTAAAGAAATCAGAAAGAAACACATCCGGCTCATATTTCAACCTATAATGTATGAATGTGCATGTGCATGCGAATGAAAATTACCATAGGCTACATATGAGGGGGTGATTGCACATCACGTATTGCTCACAGGCCGACTGATCAAACGTTTACCATGCGCAGGTAGTTCATGAGACTGGTCCCGTGTTGCCAGATTTGAGGTGAAGTGCAGCTGAGCGGCTTCACACCGATTTCCTGACTGCGGTTCAATTCCCTCACCGCCCCCACCACCACATGCACCGCGTCAAACATCAGCGCTGACGAGAGCTGTGGAAGAGGAGGGGGTAAATGGAGAAAAACAGGGGGGGATGGAAACAGGGAGGGAGGAAGGACAAGGAGTCAAGAGGAAAAAAATGCAATGAGGAAAGAGGAGAGAGGTGCAGGCACAGATGATTGAGTGGTTAACAGAAATGGAGGGGGTGGCGGGTAAAATAAGAGGGGAGAGAGAGAATAGATGTGAGGTATGAGTAAACCAGTGGGGAGGAAACACAGATGGATACATCAATACCCATTAAATACAAGCAAAAGACTAGCTGAATCTCTTTAACTGCTCCATGAATCAGTATGAGAAATAAAGTGGCTTAATTTTTCCTGGCATGCAAAACAAAGCTGTAAAAATTACTGGTGGATGTGTGCATGCATGAGTACACCTGTGTTCAAGAGACTGACCGCGGGGCCGGGATATGTTAGGTCACAGCCCTCCCTCCAAGAGAGGTTGAGGCTCCTGATGAACTCCAAATAGAAGGGGTGTGTGGTGTTGAACATGGAGAAGCCCACAATATTGGAGTGCTCATCCACTATATCATCCAGTCTTAGGAGGGGGAAGTCCTAGAGAAGGAGAGGATGAGTGGGGGGGTGTTTGCAGAGAGAGAGAGGGAGACAGAAAATTCAGGTGAGTGACAATGTTGACAGTGCATCAAACCTTAGCTCAGAAGAAAAATGCGGTGCAAACAAGAGTGTGATAAAGAAAAAGAGAGACTGCGGGGAGTGACAACATCTAATCTCTGAAGGAGAGAGAAAAAAGGATAAGGACAACTAGGGAAAAGGGGAAAATGGTGATAGGTTGATGAATCCAGTATCGTTTCACAGAGATACACACACACACAAGACGCTGCATCTGAGGCACAAGAGTACATCACACAGAGAGGGCCAAGAGGGGAGAAAAAAATAAATCAGGTATGCAGTATAAAGTGACACATTAATTCAAATGGCAGGAGGGGAGGGGAGTATATCAAAGAGGCAGATGAAAACACTGGAAGAGTAAAGAAGGTGGCGGGTGGCAGAAGAAGAAGGCCACTTCCCGTCTGTCATCATCTTCACCTCAGACCCCTTTTTACTTCTGCTTTTTCCCCCATCCTCCTCTGCACTTCCACATCTTTGTACAGTATGTTCATTTCTAAGATCTCCCCATCCTTCATCTCCTCTCCCTGTCACCTCTCTCTTTGCCCTTAATCGAATACTTTCTCCGCCTTAGCACCTTCGGTGGCTCATAAAGAGACAGAAAAGGAGGAGCAGCGGGGGAAAGGAAGAAATGAGCGGGGGGAAAAGACGACAGAAAGAGAGGAAGGGGAAGAACTCTTACCATGGTGGTGAGGATGTACTTATAAAATGCTGATGTCATCCCCAGCTCGGATGCCTGTCGAATAGAAAGAGAAAGCATAAGATGAAAAAGTAAGTCTGGGGGGGATACAGGATGTGGAAGCAGAGAACGAGGGAAGCTGGAGGGAGATTGGTGGAGGGAGAGATGGCGAGGGCAAAGGAGCGGAGTTATTGAGAAGCAGAGAGCAAAGGAGACGGTTGGGGGACAGAGTGGGAGAGAATGTGGGGGAGGAGACGGGGAACATACGTTAATCACAGTTTTACATCATCAGGCTAACACTAGGATATTTCGCTGAGGGGCGACATCCGCTCCAATGTGCCCAGTGAAAACAGCCCATACACATTCAAACTGTGAGTCACTGGGCTGGCTATCGGCATCACAGGCCACACTATGAATCAGAACAAGCCTGGGTAACATCTGCACCGCATCTCAGCAAAAGATGTTCTTTTGTCAAATACTTTCTTAAGAGAGTAAGTGATTGTTGCTGGCAGATATGCATAAATATTGTTCGCTCTGCTGCTCCAGGGGCAGAGAAGGTAAAAATAGATGTTAATTCTATTATAACAACAACTGCAGCCTGTGGAACTTTGAGCGAGACGTGACTGTAACCTGAATTTTCCAAACGGATGTACAAAAGAGAAAAACACAAATCCCTTTGAGCGATACTGCGCGTACTGTACTCTAGAGTAACTTCAAATCCTGCACATGTGTGGGCGGCTCAGAAAAATAGATTGATCCTTGAGATCTGACCTTCTTCAGGATGAGATAGGAGACAGAAGCATTGGCGTCAATGATGATGGTGGCCACTTTGTCATCACGAATCTCCTTCAGCAGCGGAGTAGGGTCCAGGTTGTCATCGAGCATTCTGACTGACAGCGTCTCCCGGGAGATGAGGAAGCGGCGGACCAGCTCCTCCAATCTCAGCAGGCCTGAGGCAGAGCCGAAGCAGAGCCGGGTTGCATATCAGTGTCTGTATCAATAGACATAACTCATATTTCCAAAAAAGTAAGCTTTGCAGGACCTCTGAAAATCTTATCCTTGCATGGCTTTATATTGGTGTCATTTTTGCAAAGCATGATTGATGGTTTGTCTAAATCTTCAGGAAATGAAACATAATTTAATGTGGAGGCTACATTATGTCTTCACTCAGTGGGACTTATTTATTTATCTATCTGCCAGGTAGAGAGTCAAGTTGTTGGTGCTGCTGCAGACTTCCATGTTGCGTGACACAGAGAGCACCCACAAGAAAGTGAACATTCTTTCTTTACAGCAGCAGAGCAGCAGATCACAATCACTGTCACATGTTGCAATAGTCATTTATGATGAATGCACAATGGCCATGTTTGATGTGGAACACACTGTGTACAGAATGTACAGAATGTACAGAATGTACAGAATGTACAGAATGTACTGCACATACATGCACTGACTGAAGTTGTTTGTTTGAGACACAGCAACAATATTTTTCCCAGTGATTCTTTAACCCCCACCTTCAGGCTATTTGATTTTCTTATGAAACATGTTTTTGAACATTACAGTCACCCGGAGGAAAGCAAGAGTACAGACATATTTTTTATAAGTTAAGCATAAATGGATTTCTGGCCAGCCGCCTGAACGTCTGTCATTACATTTAATATCTCACATCATATGCATGCATCTTCACTTACCTTTCCTCTTTAATGTCACTCCTAAAGATTTCATCTCATCTTAATTTGGTTCATAAAATACTTGTATGAGCCAAAAAAACATAAATATACTCTGGCACAACATTTACTTGAGAAAAAATAACTCAATCAACTGAGCCTGTGACTCTGAATCATTCGAAATTCATCTTTGTACAAGACCTTAATATTCTCAGACAGGGTTTATGTATCCTACAAAATGCATGGCTGCCATCAGCCAATCATCGTGACAAATTTCTAAACATCTGCTATTAATAGAATAATACATTTTGAGGGTTGTGCAGCCTTGACGGAGGTATGCACTCTTTGAGTGTTTTGTAATTCACTCTGTGTCCTATCCCTAAATAATTGCTTTTCAGTGGTTTGAGCGACGTATGCTGTGAATGACACAAGTGTGTGTTCAAAAAAATTAAAAACCATAAAATTAAATAACACAACAGGGAATGCAGGAATATTTGCTAACCTCTAGCAAAATATAAAGATGGATGGAGAGAGGGGCACAGCTGCAGGAGCAGAAAGTCTGGAATACAGTACTTGAGACAATTTGCCCACTTCAAGCAAGTTCCTCTTGAAAATGAGTATAACCAATGGCTGTCAAGACTCACTTGACATTGTGTGCAGGATGAGTCTTTACTAGAAAGTCTACCCTGCTGCTTCCTAATTGTAATTCTATAGTAAAGCTCCCCTAGCTATGTAAATAAGTGGTGGGGCAGGCATCCGGGGGATGGGGGTGTGCGGAGAGAGTGAGGAGTGGAGAAAGAGAGAGGTAGCACACAGAGCCCTTCAGCAGGAGAAAGCCTCTGTAAGCAGTGGGGTAATCACTGAACCAGGCCAAAACTTTAATTAGTTTGAGGAAGGAGGGGAAAAAAATCAATGCACTTTACAGCTTCCACTCCTCCCCTCTCTCACTCTCCTTCTTTCACATATTCCCTCTCTCACACGACTCTAACCTCTCTATCTCTTGTCTTAGTGCTGTGCTCTAGTTAGTTCTGTCTGTCTTTATCCATCTCGCTCCTGTGGCACCACCGTCTCCTCCTCCTTGTGCTCAGTCGCTCCCTCTTGCTGTCCTTAACCTCATCCATCTCATGAAAACTGCATAATGGAATTAGGCTCAGATAGCACGTAGTGACCCAGGCATAGCGAGAGAAGCATACGTCGAAAGTGACCCAAAATCTCGGACTCGCTCTCATTTAACAGAATATTTTAGGATTGCTGCACTTGCACAGGCTGAAGAGACGAAACCTTAGATTAATCCCATTAACAGGCGGTTGCAGAAATAATCAGTTGCTGAATATGTTACTTAATTAGGATGCATGCATGGTGGTGATGTGAATGAAATGTGTGACTTCACACATCACTCGCCTCACTGATGAAAATGTAAGAATGTCTACTTCTTTTGAACGCATCACTTTACACGGGGGGGGGGGGGGGGACAAGATGAATAAAACAAGTGATCTGGTGGTAAACATTGTCTGATGTTAAACCCCAGCAGAGCCACACACAAACACACACACACAATCATAGACATACCAAAACCTGCTCATGTGTGTAGACACACAGTACAATCAGGGACAGCAGACGAACACACACACACACACACACACACACACACACACACACACACACACAAACTGCTACATGCATTAACTAACACTCAAGCAAACACAAATGTACAGGCAAGCAGACAAAAACTAAAATATTGAATGTACACATTTTGTGCCTCACAAACACACTGTCATTCAGCGGGTGAAACAAGCCTTTTGAGTGGCAGTTAGCACCTATTCTGCAGCCATGGCAACCAGCTCCATGGCGATAGATAGCGCAGCCAAGTGGGTCAGAGTCTGTGAGTGTGATAACCTTGTAAAGATCACCTTCAAGCCAAATATATTACACACACACCCTCTCTGTCTCTCCAGCAGTAAAAAACGGCATCATTTGGCCCGGGTGGTAACCATCAGACTATCTGTTGCCTCTAATTCTTCTGAGAGAAAAGCCTGTTGAAAGACGAGGCTCTTATCTTCCCATTCAACCGATGATCAAAACTGGGAAAATATGTCTGATGCCATTTCAAAGCTCTTGTAGTTCAATGAAATGACGAGTCCGCAAGGAATTCAGCTTACTTTCAGGAAACCGTGGGATGGCTGGCAAACTGCTGGTGAGATAATGAAAGCATCTCAGTTTTTAAATCATGTTTTCATAATGCCACAGCATTTGTTTGTCGTAATCTGCCCTATTCACACTGCGATGAGAAGTGTTCAGTCTTAAATGGTTGCACTTATTCTTTATGTAATTGTCATTCACTTGTACGGTTCAATGTGGCTGGTGAGAGCAAGAGCTGCGCAACAACTCATCTCAGCTCAGTTTCCTTCAGGGCTGCACAAAAAAGTCCTGGACTATTCAGGGGGAAAAAATTAGATTTTTGCAACCTCCTGCAGCACGTAATGTGCTCTGTCATTTTTTTAAGAAGCCCTGTTTGAATACTACAGCCACCATTCGACCAAGCCCTTTAATTCCTGCCACTCTTGATAGAGGAGTGCATTATAAATCAATAATGTACTCTTTCAAAATGAAAATAAAGAGAGCTAGTGACTAAGCCCCAAATCCCCTGTAATGTTAAATCTCTCTGAGTGCCTGGCAAGTTAAATCAAACGTCCCTTAAGTTCCTCCAAAACTAGAAAGCATTTCACACACGAATATTTATTAAATTGGTTTGGCGTCCTCTGAGGTGGATGAGAGATAGTGTGTGAGGGCATGAGTAATAAATAGGAAAGCTGAACTCTAACAGCAGACAGAACTTTATGACCAGACTGTCAAAATGAGTGTCCAGCAGCACAACGGTCATATCCGCCCATACAGCGTGAATGTGCCAACACTCCCACAGAGGCATTTGCACACAAACATACACATACAGTAGGTAATAAGCTCGGAAGAACACAACCGATGCATTTACACCCACTGAAACACAAACATAATGCACTGTAACATCCATACAACAGACAGCATGTGTACTCACACTCAGCCTTGGCACAGACCAGGCTGGCTGAAGGGTAACTGAACGAGCGCAAGATGGCTCCGATGGCCAGGCTCAGGTCCTCGTTGCTAGGGTACAGAGTGACAGAGGCGAAGCGCAGGTACGGCAAGCGTGGAGTTTCCTCAGGTCCAATCTTTACGTGAGGGATCTGTGAGAAGGAGAGAGGAAGGTAAGCAAATGCTAATGTGTCATGATTAGGTTCCCTCCAAACACAAACAACAGGGGGGAAAACAACACAGTGAATGAGGAAGATCCATTAGAAATGCTTGAGGGTGAAAAGGCAGATAAGAGAGCTGACAGAGAACAGAGAGACCTGGGGATAAAAGGCTACAGGAAGAAAGGAGAAAACTGTTGGGAGAAGAGGAAGATGGTGAATTATATGAGAAAAGGCACCGAAAACTGACTGTTTAGAGGCATTCATCATGACGTCTGTGTGGGTAGGAGGTGCAGTATGTCAGAGAGAAAGAGCTACTAGATGTGTACAAATGTATGTGTTTATCCTCCACACTCACCTCCTTCTCTCCACATATGTGACTGACAGTGGAGCCAGAGGCGGGGCTGGAAGCGGGACCTATCACAGACACGACGCCTTTGGGTAGAATCTGACACACTGAAAGGTAAAAAAAAATTTTTTTTAAAAAGAGATATAAACACACCTGCCCTCTGCATCATTTCGATGGCAGCACTGAGCTGCAGTGAGGGGAGAAGTGTGGAAATATAAAATTCAACCAAATTGCATGACGATTTCAGTTAAACCACTGATTCAAGTGTAACGGCACAAGCTGTCTCATTCTAATCTGATTTGTTTTGTGATAAATACTCTGAGAACCACAGCAGGGCAGCCCACGGGTGGCCTTCTGCTATTATTCACTTGTTTACACAGAGATTTTTAAGACACTTCGTTCTGATTTTATCTGTGGCATCAGAACAGTGCTGGTAAATTGGTGGTCACCTTCAATTAACAGAGGCTGTTTTACTCTTTCTGCTGCAGGACAATGTTTGAGAATATTGAGACATATTTGTCTGAAACATTATTAAATGATACGATTATTAACTCAGTAAATATCATTGTTAAGCTTCCAAATTGACAGCAATTATGCTCATTTAGGCCTAACTGACTAATTTCACAGCTTTTTTGTCAAACGTTTTTGTGCAGTTACCAATTTCAGTCAATTATCACATTTAACTGTTTATTTTATCATTAGTATTTATTTCTTTATTGTATTCCTGTAAACGTCTACATGTTATGTAGCCCTCTTGTTTAAATCATGCAAAACCAGAACTGGTGACAGAAGAAATAGTCCTGCACACAAACACTATTGTCTGATTTTGTATATGTTTTTTTTTTTTTAAAGGCCCAAGTAAGTGCAGTGTTTGATTTGGACACATGATATGTTCAATATTAATAAACTTTGAATGAACATGTGACCAGCGCTCTGAGGCTGGGACTCATCAACGTTAGTGACTTTGTTTATCACGACAACAGAGTCAGACTTCACTGAACTTTGAATAAACAGTGAACAGCTCTTTGTGCAGCAGCGGTGGTGCAGCTTCAGTGGAGAGAAATCTGCCACCAGCATCACCACAGGCCAAGAAAACCACCCATTCCAACCTGCCAGTTTGAGAACGGGGCACTGCACTGGTTCCTTCAAAATCAAACAGTATCCATCACTGACAAAACTTAAGTGAGTTAAGTAAATCATTTTGAACCGTATATTTTTCATTAAGCACAGTTATCAACACTTCTAAAAAAGAATTTCATATATACAACAGAAAATAGTCTGGTGCGTTAACTGTGTTATTCTGAGAGTCATAAAGTTCTCCTCTTGTTGGAATTTTAATTCATCCCAATTAGTCCTCAGTTCCTGTCATTGTTGGTGTGTGTGCGTGCCTGTGTGTATGCGTGTGTGTGTGTGAGTGTTTATATGCCCACACTGTGTCTGTGTGAGTGTGTATATGCCCACACTGTGTCTGTGTGTGTGTGAGTGTGTATATACCCACACTGTGCCGTGTGTGTATGCATGTTGGAGTGTGTGCATGTGTGTGATTGTGCATGCGCCTGTCTCAGACAGCCGTAGCTGTAAGATGATGAGCTCTCTGATCCAGAGACCAAAAAAAGGCTGCTAGCAAACAAGCCTGTCAGGGTCTCCTGCCCATCGGTCAAGGACACACACACACACGCACACACGCCTGTAACTCAAGCATGCACATATGAACGTAGCCTTTCTCAAGCACATGCAGATATTTGCCAGTAGCTGTGTCAGGGACTATTGGTAGAGGGGGGGGTCTCTATCTCTGCTGTGGTTGAATTCAGCGGAGCGTCTTCTGTCAATTCCAAACATTCTGTTTTAAGTCTGTGTATCAATACAAATTTAATGGAGTGTCCTCTGTGGTGTGCTGCTGCGGTCTGCTGGCCTGCTCTGCCGATCTGTGTTAGTATTTGATGATTTGTTTTCGTCTTCACAGTAGCCTGTGCCAGCTGTTACTGGAGGGCACTGGTCTCCTCTGAGAGGCTTAGTGGTCCATTACTGGTCTCCAGTGACATGTAAACTAATCAGTGTGAGCTCTTACTGGTTCCTAATCACACGTAAGTGGTGGTGTTTTATCATTCTTGTCATTTGAGGCATTTGCTTTTTAGAAAATGTAATTATATCAGAACCATTCTTAAGTGTTTTGGGATAAAACCTGCAGTAGACACGAGGCTATATCTTTTTTTAATTCTCTGTACTAGTTACTATTTAATATTAATATTTTATATTACTAATAATATCAACTGGTAATTTCAGTGGTCACTTTTTGACAGAGCTAATTAGACACCATGCCATGTAATGGATTTAGCTGGATTTCATCACTCATGAGGGGTTGTGTGAATCTGCTGTACTGGTCTTCTCTGACGTGCATCGGCTCCACTCACTGGTGTCAGTAGTGTCGTACTGGGAGTCTTTCTGCAGCTCATATATGTCCACCTCCACTCGGGCACGGGCCGGGCCCTCCATGACGCTGTTTATGTTCTCCCTCGCCAGGGCCAGAGCCAGCCGCTCCCCACGCCCACACACAGACTGGTCATCCAGGATTGCAGCTGGAGAGGCAGGGGGTGAAGGAGAGATGGTTAAAGCAGGGGAGAGAAGAAGGAGGGCACCGGGAAGACAAACAGGAGAGTAGTAATATGAGCTAAATTATTAGCCTAGCTAAACTAACTGGCTTCTGGCATTGGCGTCATCTATACACACCATAGACTATATCTAATGATCAACGACAGCTCCCCAATAATAAGGCCAAATAATCTTGATCGCCCCCTGGTGGCTGGCTGCATTGGAAATAAACCAAACCACATTGATGTTTGTTCAAGTACTCATTTTAGTTTAATTTGATTACAGTGTTTTAATCAGTTATTTAGTTGATTGATCGTGGGATCTCAATACCAAGGCTCCACCCAACAGCGCTGAATCTGATGCGCAGAATCTGGCATCAGATGACGTCAAAAGTGCAAGATGGTGGCACCTGTATTGAGGATATTGTAGCTGAGCGTACAGACATGAGAGCTATTTCAACTTGCGCCTGTATCTGGCATCTCTGTCTGCTCCTACTGAAGATTTCATGGTTCAAACTGGAATCTTGATACCGCAACAGAGCCTCTGAGAGAAACTTGTATATGCCAATCACTCTTTGGCTTGTGATTGAGAGAGAGAGAGAGAGAAAGATTGGGAAACTTTTCCTGCAAGTTTCCACTAAAAGGTTTTACTGCATTAGCTCAGTTTGGACATTATAAGTGCTAATTTGGCTTTGAAATGCTTTCCTGTCGACCTGGCTCGACTGTACAGCTCAATGTGGCAAAAAACACTTTGAGGCACTGACGCAGGCTGAAAACCAACCATGAGAAGTATATGATGAGCCAGGTGAGGGGGTAGGGGGGATGGAGGAACAGCTGACCACTCACCCATTCGGACGGAGGAGAGCAGGGGGGCCTGACTGAGGGAGCGTGGCGGCATGGTGACTAGCAGGAAGGAGAGGATGTGTATTGACAGCAGCAGTGCTGGCAGAGCCGGCATCTTCTACTGCTCCTCATGGAGAATGGTCTGCTGGCTGCCTGTACCACCACCTGCAGAAATGGAGGACAGAGTGCTTGTTACCGAACACCATTCTCATCTTCCTTTAAATTCTCATCCTGCAGCTTATCTTCAGCTTCCTCTGCCATTTCCATGTAGTGGGTGTACCTTTAATTTGACAGCACATAGAATAGTAGAATAATAGACTTTCATCCTCAGCTATGAAGATGTTCACTGTCACATCACAAAGGCGGTCCGGCTCCATTCACACACACACAGCCCATTTCATTATAAAATACAGTGCGCGCACGCACACGCACACAGTTATGTTATGTCTCATGTAGAAAGTCGGCCGTTTAGCAGTGACAGGATTCAGCCCTGAAGAGATCTCCAGAGGCAGCTCAAAGACAGCATCACAATAACTGGTGCACATTCACTCATCTACACTGCACTTACACTTGCATACATTCATATAAACAAATGCAAACAGCCACAAAGGAACACTCACTGCATCACACACACAGACTCACACACACAGACTCACAAGCACAAAGACAACTGCCTTGAACACGGATAAAAAAACATACTCTACACTCCCACACATTTCTATAACTCCCACCGTCACCACTAAACACACACAGGAGAGATAAAAAAGCACACAAAGGGCGCTCAGCTGTGCGCCAGCAGCGCCCAGCAGCCCTCTCCACGGTGACACAGCCGTGCACTGACTGGCAACATTACACGGCAGTGTGAAAGGACGGAGAATGTGTGTTTTGTGACAGGCAGGCGGGGGACTGTTGAGGGAGGGGCGGGCTGTTGACCTGGGAATGTTTCAAACGTCTGGTTCACCGGTCCGAGCTTTAGACAGGCCTGACAGACGGCTGAGATGCTCAGTTCAAGACCTCTATGTGACCCTCGCGGGGGAGGGGGGGTGATTGGCAGAGGGTTCACCTTTGACCCTGACAAGTGCATGCAAGGGGCAAATGAGTAAACATGTACATCAAAGAGGAAGACGCAGTGGACTGTCTGCCACTGTTGTGTTGTAATGAAACTCATTATACAGAACACGTTTAACCAGGTGAGCTACGAGTGCACCCCCCCCCCATCACTGTGTTCATCATCTCACAACATGCAGCCTGTTTCACTTTGAAATCATCTGCTTTTCTTCTTTCTTCCACGCTCACCTTTCCAACACTTGTCTCACTTTGATGTTTAAAGCACATCAAAAAGAAAAATCAGCAACTCAGTGCTTTGAATTCTTCTTCACCTCTCATCAATGACGTCTTTGTCCTTTTTTAATTTTTTTCGTGCAATTAACTGCTCTTCCTTTCCTCCGTGTCTGACTTCACGTACGTCTTGTTTTGGGGTTTGTTGTGTCAGAGGGTGGGCCAATGTGTGCACAAACACGTTTGTACTACTAATAGCATGCGACACACTGTGCAAATAGACGCGTTGCTCTCATTATGGTTACCGCAGCTCAAAGTGAACGGAGGCCGGGCTTATGTAAGGCCATCTCTACATGTGACACAAAATAAAATAACAGCCACACAGTGGGAGTAGCCTCGTTTTTTTCCCCGCACATTGTTTCCAATACATCACTCTTGTTCTAACACAGTATGTTACATTAAAGGTGCCGGGGAATAATTACTCCATCAAAAATGGATACAAAAAAGTTTCATGCTGTTAATATATTTGTGTAAATGTGTATAATGGTGCACGTGTAGACCTACGACACAGACAGTTATTACAGAGCTGATTATTCTGACCACGCAGCGAGGTGCAGCTAATGACTGTCACAGCTGCGTGTTGTGTTGCACAGTCTACTCCATTGTGTTGCCTATTACTACTGTATTCTGTTTGCCTCCCACACCAGTGGTCTCCTTCTCAATTTACTCTTCACCAAAGTGTGTATTTGGTGTCTGGACCTATGTGTTTATTCCAGGGCATATATGAACGAGAGTATGAGAGTGTGAGTGTGATGGCATATTGATCGAGCCCAGCTGAAGTGGCGGGCCCTCAGGTGCAGTCAATCAAAACAATGGGGAACCTATCATGGGACCACTGCATTTCACAGGAGCCATCTGATTGGCTATTACCAGGAAGCAGATTGCCATGATGACGAATAAGATCCTCGCTGAGGCTTTGCCTTCATCAATGATGGGATGGAACCGGTGCTATTTCATTGTTATTGAGAGCTATTGACAGCATTAGACAGAGAAGATTACAGCATCTATACTCTGAGGAGAAGAAGAAGAAGGAGGAGAAGAAGAAGAAGAAGAAGCGGGCGGGGGGAGGAGATGGAATGATGTGATAGAAGTAAAGGGAATGAGAGAGAGAGAAAAAAAAGACGAAACAGAGAGGAATAGGCTGAGGACGATGAGGGAATAAGAGAAGAAAATTGAATGCAGAGAGAAGAGATTGGAAAATGTTTCTGCAGAAAGAGAGACGCTGAGTACGGATAGAGATGGAAATACAGAAGTGCAGCGGTGGAAAGTACATTTGCTCAAGTGCTGTACTCAGGTTTATATTAGCTTTTACTTTTCATTCAATGCTTTTTAGAGGGAAATATTCAAAGTCCACCCCATAATTTGATGGCCACTAATTGTAGCTAAGATTATATTGCGCAGTATATACTCATAAAATGTGATTCGTGGTGATGAATGAAGCTCCGAACATTAGACTGAGTGGTTAAAATTAGCTCCACATCACCAGCCTACAACAGTAAAATAGTGATTATATTATAGTAATTCATCAATAACAATAATCCAATATATATAATACATTGCAGATATTCTGTTTTGTTGTGTTGCTCCATCATTACTCCAGCATTAAACCCTGTTTATCACAGCGCTGGATGTTTTATCACTAATGAGTCGTCAGTGTTCTCTGCTCTTACTTACTGACAGGAATGGATAATCATGACATCCGTCTCTGAAGCTCTGCTGCCAAACCTTCCAGACACTCACATTTAAATCCTGTTGAGCACAATCCAACAATAACATTACCTTAAATATTCTAGGCTTTAATCAAATCTTTACGCAAAGTATATGTTCCTTTTACTTTCTGAGAGTTTCAAACTTTACTTCTCGATATTCATCATCACTCATTTCAGTAATTCTTTTTGTTGCTTGATTATCTTCTTGCATGCAGGTTGACTGTTTATCCATGTTAATTTGAATAAAAAACCCTGATCTATGTGAAACTTCATGATTAAAAACACATTGTGACATTAGTAGTTTAATGAAGCCAAGGATCTGCCCGCAGCACTGCAGGAGAGTGAAGGGAAATAAGTTGATGTAGTCGAATGAGGCGGAGGGGAAGCAAATATAGTCAGAGAGAAAGACAGAGAAAAGAGAGACCGTATTGCCCAGTTTAATATGCAACACTGTGAGTCTGGGTGCTGTACGTGCTGTGTTGTGGTTGCAGTACGAGGCTGAGTCCCTGTAGCAGTCGGGTGTCAGTCTGTGGGGAGCTGGAGCAGCGAGAGGGCCGAGCAGAGCCAGACTAGTCTGAGCCGTACAGAAAAAAAACACTGCCTCTAGCCCCCCTCGCTCGCTTTCATTCTGCACCCTGCTGTAAGTCACCCCGCATGCTGGCACCACTGAGAAATACACAAAAGCAAAAATACATAAATATCCTAACTTGCTCTGTGCGTGTATATGTGTGTGAGTAGAAGAGAGAGAGAGGCAGGGAGGGAACAGAGCTAGAGAGAGAGAGAGAGAGAGAGAGAGAGAGGCAGGGAGGGAACAGAGCTAGAGAGAGAGAGAGAGAGAGAGAGAGAGAGGCAGGGAGGGAACAGAGCTAGAGAGAGAGAGAGAGAGAGAGGGGACGTTCATCCCGGTTGGAGATTTAGCTGCTTTCTGCATGCATTCATCTCAGTGTGTGTATGAAGCCAAATGCATCTTTGTGTGTTTGCTGTTTTCCTTTGTGCGTGTGTGCCGGAGACTTGGCGGCTTGCTTATAGTGTCTGCAGAGCCTATTATAAAAGAGAAAACCGTAAAATCAGAGATCTTAATTATCTGGAGGGAGGGAGGGGGGTTAGGGAAGTAGGGGGTAGGTGAGGGGAGAGAGGCAAAGGGAGGGCCAGAGTGGGATGGAAAAAGGGAGGGAGGGAAAGGGGGAGATATAGAGACAATCTGAAAATGAGGGAGCGCTATCTCGGCGTACACCCCCGGGCAGATGAGGGGAGGATGAACAGAGACTAAAGCAGTGGAAGCAGGATGAGCGATTGCAGGGGAGGAGTGAAGGGAAAGAGGGATGCCAAGAAAGACAACGGCTGGAGAAAAGCAGTCGTTGTTGGGGGATTGAGGGGGGGGGGGGGCTGGCAAATCATTTGTTTTTCCCCTTCTGCCATATTGTCTGACACAAGAAAATCTGACAGTTATCATAATGGAGGAATGAATCATTCCCATAATTGAATTTGCGAGTGGAACGGCTTCAGTGGCTGTGGATTTAAGAAGACTGCACTGCCAGTCATTATGTTATTTTGCTCGCTCCTCTCACAGTTTGGAGTCATTGTGACTAAAGGCTGCTTGGCCACTGTCGCTGAGTGAACACAGCCAGCCAGGAGAATTTGTTTACCCTGAGACAACACAGGGGAGTCTGGTGTGTGGATAAGGAGGGTCTCACCCCTTTTGGCCTTCTGCATCATCAAGAGTTGACTGCTTTCTAATATCAAAGCAGCATCACGTATTCTTCATCGTACTGACTCGGCACTTTCTCCCTCTCCGTCCTCCAAACTCACCCCTCTGCCTTTCTCCTCTGTCTTCCCTTTGCCCTTTTCCCCATACCCCCATCTCTCTCTGTTCCTCCCTTTCTCTTCTGTGTCTGAATTTCCTTTGGAGAAGTTGGATTTCAGACATGCCAGGTTTAACATTTTAAGAAAATATGATTTATTCATGTAATGTTGTTCTGCCAGGAGGCTGGTCTGTACATCTGAAATTAGATTGTTGAACATATTTCATATAGCCTGGTCAAATGTAATAAGAAAACGTAAATGCAGT